AAATATTTATTATATATAAAATAAAATGAGTATAGTGCATTTTCTTTACAGTACATTTAAACTTCTATAACTTTTTGATACTTGAATTTTTTGAAAAAATTCCACTTTTGCAATAATCTTTTCTTCTTTAAAAAGAGACCAACCTTAGGTCTGTATTCCAAAGTGTTCATAAATTACAACAATTTAAGTTTGGACAGTGCACTTTCATGCCTATTTTAAAAAATGGGGGGTGACAGTTAAGGGGTTAACACAATAACAAACAAACAACTTCATGGGTACAAACATAAATATTTTTCCAAAGTATAACACAAATAGTGAAAGAAATTTCGGTCTGGTCAACCGGTTACAATATAAGCAAATGTTTGTAAGCATGTATACGTAAATATTTGTGGTCATACATTCATAAACATAATACTAATTTCCGTTGGCGTCTCTGTATAATCTTTAAATGTTTATTTTTTTTTCATTTACTGTTAAACTAATACAAAACGGTCCACTAAATGCCCATTCAATAGGAAATTCATGTTCATTTTCATGGCAGACGGTTCACGAGAGATTCCCTTTTATATAAACACGCTTGCTTTGAAATATATATAAACTATTTTCTTGCAAGAATTGCTATAAAAAATAAAGCATATCAGTGCGTGTCATACCTTGCACAGTAATGTTGGCAGAGCTCTTTGCGTGTTCACCACGTTGGTTAGTCAGTGTAATGGTGTAGTTGGCCTCATCTGATTTTTGAGTGTCTTTGATCCTCAGAGAGAATACATTGTCCTTCTGGACCATGATGAACTTGCTACTTTCAAATAAAGTCTCATTATTCTTCAGCCATTTGGCTTTGGCCCCCTCAGTGTTAACTTCACAATTGAGGACAGTCTCTTGTCCTTCATTTGCCTTTATGTCTCTTAGAGGAGTGATAATCCTAAGCTTTTCTGTAAAACAAAAAAAAAGAAAGAAAAATCATCAAATTTTCATATTTATATCATAATTTTTCAAAAATATACAAAAAAACATACTATACATACCAAGCACAATCAGATCAGCTGAGGCTCTTGTGGTTCCAATGAGGACTACAAAGCCACCTTCATCCTTGAGTTCACAATTTTTGACAACAAGAACTCTCTTTTTGCCCTCAGAAATTATGTCATATTTGTCATCTGATTGAAGTTCCTTATCTCCTTTGAGCCATTTCACTTCATATGTGTCTTTGGAGACAGAGCACACAAATTCTGCCTTTTCACCTTCAACCACCTCCTGGTTTTGAGGCCTTGCAATGAACTCAGCGGCAAGTTCTAAAGTAAAAAAAAAAATAGTTACAGTATTAGGTCAATCACAAGCATGGAGCAAGTTTATATAAACAAGGTATGAAATACAAGGTATGAAGTAAAATTTCAAGGACAAGACAGTCTCACCATTAATCCTTAGGTTCCCTGTGGTTTGTGAGGTGGGCAGTTTGCAGTGGTACTCTCCGGCATCATCCATACGGAGGCCCTTAATAATTAGGATTCTCTTTTTGCCATCTGCAATATGCTCATATCTACCAACTTCAGGCAACTCTTGGTCACCCTTGTACCATGTAACCTCTGCACTGGGTTTGGAGACTTCACAAATCAGTTTAACACTGTCGGTTTCAGTGCCTTCAACATTAGCCAAGTTCTTTGTGAATCTAGTCTCCTCCTCTGTGGTCAGAAAAAGTCATGCAAATCAGTATACTGTTCAAAGCAAGTTGTTGAAGCCTGTTTAGACTAAAAATGAACAGAATAATTTACCAATGACAGTCAGCATTCCAGAGGTTTTGGAAGTCCTGGCATCACATTCATATTCTGCTTCGTCATCAAAGACAGACTTGCTTATGATGAGAATACGTTTGACTCCTTCAGAAATGATCTCATATTTCTTGCCTTTTCTGATTTCATTACCATCTTTGAACCAGCGAACCTATTCAAAGAGAACAATGGAATATATTGATGAATGAACTCACAGTGATCATTTTCAAAAAGTCAGACAATTACACAACATGTCTAATGTCTAACATCTTACCTATGAATTATATAGATATACATTTAAATGTCAATTAAAAAAAGATTAACTGAATGGTAGACAACAAACCTTAGCACTTTCACGAGACACTTCGCATTCAAATCTGGCAGATTCCTTCTCTTTGACCTCAACATCATGGAGTGGCTTTGAGAACTCAACATGTGGAGCTGAAGATCAAAAGGCAATCATATTCAGTCTTTTATTTTTTCATTGCAAGTACTATTTAAATTCTTTGCTTTTGCCTTTTCATTCTGGTTGACTTACGTTCAACATTTAAGAAGGCTGAAGTCTTGAACTGTTTAGCATCGCAGGTATATGTCCTTGAGTCATCAAGTGTGCAGTCATGGATAAGTAGTTTTCTTTTACGGCCATCAGCAACCATGTCATATTTCTTGGTTTTGCGAATTTCTTGTCCATCTCTAAACCACCTGACCTCTGCTTTCTCTTTGGAGACTTCACACTCTAGTTCAGCGGTGGCTTCCTCTTCTACAGTCTGGTCCTCCAGAGGTTTGGTGAATTCAACCGGAGGTTCTGTGCAACAAATGTATTTGTTTTATTGCAAATTCACTTTTTAACAATATTATCATTTCCTATGATGATATTTGAAGACAGACTAATGATATAATGTTTTTCTTTTAAACAGTAAATATCACTTTCTTAGCACAGACATTTAAAATGTTTTTGACAATCACCTGAGCTCCAATAAGAGCACTAATAATTACCAGCAATTAAATTAAATCTGCATTTGTGAACAAATGGCACCCACCATTTACAATGAGTTGAGCCTGTGTCACGAAGTCCTTTGCAGTGAGTTTTACTTCTCCTGCCTCTGTCAGTTTCACATCCCTAAGGGTCAGCGTGTGAGTTCTGCCTTCTGAACGGTGCACCACCTGTGCAATTCAAACCAATTGATAAATCAAGCACACTTGCCATGTCAAGGGTGGGGGAGGCTATTTACTGCCCCTCTGCAATAGACATCAACAGCTGAGCACTAGGAACTGTTCTCATTTTCACACCTCTGCTTCCTCTGTCCCAACTAGTGCCCTGGAAGCCAGTTTAGACTCATTTGGCTTGTGTAACTTGTGTAACAAATAAAGCTATATGAACAGATTGAAAACAGTTGTATATGATTTGCTTACAATTAATATCTTCCTTAAATCATCAATCAAAATAAAAATAAAAATAAAACAGGCTGAAAAAATTACAAATTAACATAACATGATTTTTTTTGTTTTAATTTTTCAGTTCCATTTCCAAAAAAATTCACTTATGAATGAGAAATGTCATGTTGTTAAACAACATTATAATGTCTTTATATAATAATAATAATAATAATCAATAAAATGAAATATATGTATATCTGTAAACCCAACATTGAACACGTTCCTGAATATAATGCAGAAGCTAGCAAAAAATAAATAAAATCTGTCCAAAAATAATCAAAACTGTTAAAAAACATAATAAAACTGAATTATGGTTCATTAGTGCTTTTTTCAACTTGTTTGTAATCTCTGTTCGAAGAATCAAGTCCTCACACAAACATATCAGGAATACAAACAGAACTTGAACAGCTGTTGTCACCAAAATGTGTGGCCTTTTACTAAACCCATTTGCTACACGGCACTCAGTTTAATAAAAGTATCATGTAAAATACATAAAATCCAAAGCCATGACTGAAGGCCTAACTCGCACACACTGCAAATTATATGACAAACACATTTAAATGCTTCTAACAAAATGCATAAATAAATAAATACATACATACATAGCTACATGTAAATACAAGCTATGTCTGTAAAAAAGGCCTCTTGCCACCTGCCATTGCACATAGAGTCTTGAAGCAGTTAAAAATAACCAGAGGAACGCTTGCAGAGCAGAATAGCCCTGTGTGTTATCTTAAAACCCAGATCAAATGCTCAACTGGTATCCTGATCCCCAGGTCCTTATATGAGGAAAGCATTTAACTGACAGATGTAAAGAACTAGCATGCAATATGTAGAAAAAAGCTAAATAGTTGTTTAGCAGTTGTTAAATATTCCAAACGTGTAATCCTAGATGTTAAAAAACAGTTTACTACATTTTACAACAGTTTAGTGATCATCTAAATTTATTGATTCAATTAGTGTATACAAAATAGTGACACCAACAGTTAATTCTTTATAAATTTCCCAGAAACCACAAATGACATTTTAAATTTACACTGGACAACATGCACACTTACTCTGTCACTTGGTTCCAGCTTTGTACCCCCTAGGAACCATTCCACAGGTATGCCCTCATAAGACAGTTCGCAGTCAAAGGTTGCTGTCTCTCCCGCTGTCACTGTTACATCCTTGAGAGACCTCAAGAGGCCTATCACTCGTGCTTTGGATTCAGGAGAAGACATTGTTAGTCACCTCCAAGACCCAAGAGACACTCGTAATCCTTTAACTACAAATTCTCATAGCGCTTTCCCGCTGACAACAGGCCACTGCTCTGGAGCTCGTAAGCCTCCAGGACAAGTGGAATCCAGCAAGACAGGGACTTGTGTTGGGGGCCTACTTCATTTGCATATTGCGTTTCCTTAAGATGTATATGGTCAGAAAAAACATTTGGAGGTAGGTCTGTTAAGCCTCTGCCAATCACTGACAGAGACTCTCTACATATGGAATGCAGCTTCTAAAATAACCGCAACATCTGATTGGCCACTAGCCCACCCCTGTTATGACATCCTGCTAGGAAATCTGTTACTGTCAATCAACCTGCTGGACTTCTCCAGGAAAAGGAGAATGTTACTTAAGTGTTACTTAATTTATAAAATGAAAAAACTAAATAAATAAAAAAAAAATCCCACATCATGCTTGAGGGTTGCATGTCATAATAGTGTATCTGCTTGTTTCTAAAGCAAGAATATTAAAAAGCTAAAAAAAAAAATAAAAAAAATCAATTGATTGGCTGCCAAACCTGTCTCTAACACATTAATCCCTGCCATAATAAATACTTTTCACACCCTGTTATCACTACATGGCATCTGTCAGAATAATTTATGAGCTAATCATAAACTGCAGTGACTAATTTAATTTCCTTTAGTTCACACACTTTGTTTCAAAGCAACACATATCAGCTGCCTTTGTTACACAATACTAATTGTTTCTGGTATGTCCAGAGAGATATAATTTCTCTGGCTTGTCCAAAATATGCAAGAAGGCATCCTATTCATCATTCTCACCTTTAACTCTGAGCTGAGCACTTGATTTAGCATTAGCAGCACTGAAGTCCACACCACCAGCCATATCCATGCGAACATTGTAAAGGATAAGCATGTGCTTCGTGCCTTCCTCCTTAATTTCACAGTCCTAATAAATGAAATGAAAAATATGATATGAAAATATGAGAATATGTCAGCACAGAGAACTATTCACCGTAATTCTGAAAAAAATTGCACAATTTAGCACAATAGTAAGCTCTTAAAGGAACAGTTCACCCCAAATGTAACCGTTCTAAGCCACAAATGACTTTATTTTTTTGTTTAAATTTCAAGCTTTTTGTTACACATAGTGCACAATTACTACTTACTACTTCAAAGATATAGATATTTTTTTTTATCCAAAATTTCTGTTTTTATGATGACAGAATTAGCATTTATTATGTGAACTATTCCATTTAATACAATTCAGAATTTTAGAATTTTTTAAAAATCTTATTTTAAATTTGATAAACATTAAAATGTTCAAAAAGCATCTGTAAGTTATATTTGGTGTTTAGGAGCAACATAAATTACCGGTGACTGGTGCAGGGCCTCTCCTTTGAGTTTCCAGTTACCATGAACATCCTCCTCAGTGATTTCTGTCTCAAAGCGAGCAGTCTCTGTCTCTGTGACCTCCACACTGTACAGTGGACGGGCAATTTTAATATCGCGCTCTGCAAAGAACAGGAGAGGAAAGGTAAAGTTATACGAGTTCATAGTAATTTTATCAATTTTAATCTATTAATCGATATATGGATTAATAAAACAAACATAAAATACATAAAAAATACATACCTTCAATGTTAAGCTTGGCTGCTGTTTTGTCAGAGCCGCAGTCACATACATATTCACCAATGTTGGCCTTCTCTGCCTTCTTCACTGTCAAGATAAGTTTCTTTCCATCAGCCTTGATGAGGACGTTCTTAGAGGGAGTGATCTCCTTGCCGTCTTTGAACCATTTCACCTGAGCAGATGATTTGCTCACTTCACACATCAGGACAACCTCATCCTTCTCAACTGCAGTGTAGTCCTGCAACTTGGTAGTAAAGTAAGGTTCTCCCTCTGTTGATAAACAAGAGGGTTTTAAGTTTAATTTAATGTTTATCAGTACAATTCAGCATTCAATATTTATCTGTATGATCCTTTAAGTGTGTCTACAATATATTTAAACACCTACCAAGTACAGTGAGCATTGCCTCACAGGTTTTCCCAAGGGCCTCAGCTTTAATTAGAGAAGTGTCATCAATAGACACCTCTTTGAAGGACAGAGTATGGGTTTTGCCATCCTCGGACATGTGTACCACTTTACTTGGATGCAAACGCATGTCATTCTTGTACCAGGTGACTTGAACCTTTTCATGAGAGAGCTCAATGCTGAATTCTGCAGTCTCACGCTCTTTAACGGTGACATCTTTAATGGGTCTGACAAACTCAAGACGGATGCCTGGGGAAAAATGCAAGCACATGATTCAATCTGGCAGCAGTTGTATTTAAAAGTTTACGAAACAAACATATTTTTAAAATAATGTATTTATTTTCTCCCCCTTACCCTGGATAACAAGTTTGGCAGATGTTCTCTTGTCCTCAGCCTCAAACATATACTTAGCCTCATCCTCATAGGCAGCAGATCTGACCACCAGAATGTGTCTTTTGCCCTCCTGAAGTACCTCAAATTTATCATCAGTTGTAATCTCCTGAGATCCTTTCAACCAACGGAAGCTCTTTGGTTGTCTTGAGATCTCACACTCAAACCTTGCATCATCTTTCTCATATACATGCACATCAGCCAGAGGTGTTACAAAAGTAATGGGAAGCTCTGCAAAAATACATAAAGAACATCCCTTTTAAATAATACACAAACAATCCACCAACTCAAATAACATAAAATACTCAATATATATATATATATATAGAGTCTAATTGCTTTAAGCTAGTTTCCCCCACAAGTGAGGAGTCAGTTATTCCACACTTTTATTCAGATGAGGAAGTGGTCAGATGCCAAAAAGGTTTTAAGAATCACTCAGAATCTCTAGAATCAAACAGTGGATTTAAAGTAAAATTTAGTCATAAAATACCTTTCACTTTTAGATTGGCAGAGCATTTTGCATTGGCACCCTGGAATGAAACCTCTCCAGACTGGGACACTTTACAGTTGTACAAAGTTAAGATGTGCTTTGCGCCATCCTCAATGATTTCAACATCCTGTTGCCACAAAGACAAAAATACAGTTATGCCATTCATACAAAAGTTACATTTGTAACCATTTCAAATAGTTTTAGTAGCCTTACAGGTGATGGGGAGATGATTTCTCCTTGCAGCTTCCACTGGCCATGGACATCATCTTCAGAAATTTCCACCTCAAAACGAGCTGTCTCACCATCGAACAGCTCAACACCATACATTGGTCGTACCACTTTGATGTCACGAGCTGAAATTAATTAAACCCTGAATTAATTATTTAAACCTGTAACTGCTGAAAGATTGCGTGCAGGTGTGTAGGGCACTCTGGGAAAAAAAATCTGCATTTACATTCCATGGGCATAACCTTGATCACTGACCTTCAATGTTCATCGTGGCCGAAGTCTTGTCCGTTCCACAGTCACAAACATATAATCCTTTTTCTTTTTCCTCAACTTTCTTGATGTTCAGGATTCTTCGTTTGCCATCAGCTTTCATGGTAACCATCTTGGAGGCTTTAATTTCAGTCTCATTGTGGAACCACTTCACAGGAACATCTTTGCTGAGCTCGCAGTCAAGATTGACCTCGTCTTTCTCAACTGCAGTGTAATCTTGCAGTTTAACTGTGAAGTAGGCATCTCCCTCTATATTAAAATGTAAAAAAAATTAAGTTTAGCGAACCTATAATGTACAGTTTGTGAGATGAAACAGCTTGTATACCAAAAAACTGATGTTCACTAGATTACAGATTTCAGGACCACTTATCTTACCACCACCACTACCACCATCATTATCATCAAAATAATAATAATAATAATAATAATAATAATAATAATAAGTTACCTAGCACCGTCAGGTTTGCTGTTGTTGATAATCCTTTAGCCTCTGCTTTTATTTGGCAAGTATCATCTAGAGTGACATTCTTGATTTCTAATATATGTTTCTTTCCATCAACATGCGTAAGTACAGTTCTGCTCGGATGCAGTTTTGTTTCATTTTTGTACCATGTCACTGGTACATTGTCATGGGACAGTTCAAGCTCAAACCGAGCTGTTTTACCTTCCTTAACAGTTTGATCCGATATCGGTGAGATGAATTTCAGCCGCATACCTATAATGTGTTTAAAAACCATTTTAGCTTGGTGATTTTGTGAACAAAACACAGTTTTCAAAGGACCCCATGACGACTGAAACATAGCTTGAAAACTTACCCTCAACTGTCAGTTTGGCTGTTGATGTTTTACCCAACACCTCAATAGTATATTCTCCCTCATCCTCAAATTCACAGTGGTTTATGACCAACATGTGTTTCTTTCCATCATCAATGATATCATATTTTTGGTCTGGTGTTATAATATCAGATCCTCTCAACCACATGACTTTAGGCACATCTTTTGTGATCGTGCATTCAAACTTTGCCTGTTTCTTTTCATGCACAGTAACATCCTTCAATGGGACTGTGAAGTCCATTTCAATTTCTATGGGTGTGAATAACAGTTATCACAAGTTATTTTTCACCCTATTTAGCTTATAAATACTGCATTTCTTGTTTCAGCATGCATTTTTGGCTCATCAACGACATACCTTTGACCGTTAACATTGCAGTAGTGATAGCATTCAAAGCTTGGTAGGAGACTTCTCCAGCCTGGTCAAGTTGAACATTTTTCAATGTAAGGAATCTCTTATTTCCTTCAGCTCTGATATCACACGTCTGGGAATTAAAAAAAAAAAAAAAAAAAAACCAATATAAAAAAAAAAAATTAAATAAAATCAAACGTCTGGGAATAAAAAAAAAAAAAAGTAAAATAGCCTATATAAAATAATGCATTTTTTCAACTATATACAATCTTACCGGTGATCTTGTCAGAACCTGCCCTCTAAGTTTCCATTCTCCAGGCACATCATCTTCTGACATTTCAGTATCAAAGCTGGCCTCCTCTTTCTCAACCACCTCCACACTAGCAAGAGGCTTCAAGATCTCAGCTTCACGCTCTATATTTATGAAAGACAAAAATAGTATTTAGGGAAATACAAAAACAACCTTTAGCAGTAAGGTAATAAATGCTAAGGCTGCCTAACACACCTCCAAGAGTGAGTTTTGCTGCATATCTGCGGCCCTCAACTTCTATGGCATATTCTCCAACATCACCAGGTTGAGCATTCTTGATTGTAAGCGTGATATCTTTTCCATCCTTTTTCACCTCAGTCTTATTTGTAGGGTCAGTGGGAATTTCTTCATCTCCCTTGAACCACTTCCAGTTAGGAGTATCCTTGTACAGTTCGCACTTGAATGTGGCAGTAGCCTTTGGTTTCACATGCTGGTCCCTCAAAGGTTTTGTTAACCAATCTCTGATTATTTCTGCAAAGGTAGATATTTTGTTTAGTTATGTTTTGGTAAAGAACTAATATAAATAACCATGAATATTTTCCATATGCATACCAATGACTTTCACATTGGCTTGTGTCTTGATGTCCTCGCACTCGCAAGTGTAAACACCGGCATCATCGTCATTTGTGTCTTGGATTGTCACAGAGCGCTGCAATCCAATAACACTGATTTGAATTTTGCCAGCAATTTGCTTGAGTTCTTTTCCGTCCTTCTTCCAGACAACATCCCTGTCTTTGCTCAACTCGCAGGTTAAGTACATTGGCTGTCCCTTAATCACAGACATTTCCTCCTCCAGATTCTTTGTGAACTTCACTGGTAACTCTATCAAAACGAAAAAACAAAAAACAAACAGAAGGACATCTCAATTCATTGGGTAGTATTTTTTGAATATATATTCGTATAAGACTAAGCTTGTATATTCACAGTTTTTACTCATAATCAATGCACTACCTTCAACAATAAGTTTAGCTGTTGAGGTCTTCTCATTTTTGCCAAGCTTTGCAACACATGTGTACTCCCCAGTGTCTGAAAGCTGTACATCAATGATGGCCAGTTTGCGGTCTTTGCCATCAGATGTGAATTTGTGCTTTGGACTCTCCCTTAGATTGCTTCCATCTTTCATCCAGGTGGTGATAGCAGTAGATGGAGAGATCTGGCACTCAAATACAGCAGAGGAGCCAATGGACTCCGCCTCCTGCAACACAATATCTTTGAGCTCCTTCACAAAATTCAAGGGGACGGCTTTGAGCTGGGCACCAAATGGTGATTCTCCTGGAGGCTTATCACCACCAGCACCAGGCTTCAGCCCTCTACCCCTTCCAGCATCACCAGGAGATGGAGTTTGTCTTGCTGTAATGCAAAAAGAGGTTTAAATGGAACTACTACTTCTGCAAATAGTAAGCACATTACATACTGATATACATATATTTGTTGCTGAGCTGTCATGACTAATGTATAAAGCAAAGCTTAAAATGGCTGAGGGAAAAAAATCATCAAAATAATTTAATAAATAAACTTACGTCTTAAGCCTCTGCCCCTTCCAGCTTCCTCTTTAGGCTTTCCCTCTGAACAAACAAAAATCTATTATTTCCAATTCATGGAAATGGAAAATATATTTTAAGTTAAATTAAAATGTCCAGTACTGAAGAAAAAACACTTAGAGACAAAAGGTAAATATTAAACATGGGAATGAAGAGTCATGAAGATGATAGAATCATGCTGCCAATTAATGAGAAGTTAGATGACAAATTACAATCCCAACGCAATGACCATTCTTTCCACCAGTGGTTATATTCCGTAGATCAATGAAGACACACAGATAAACAACAAACAAGATGAAAAGACATTAAAATACAACACACATGCCACAATGAAGATTGAAGAAGATGAAGAAGGAGGAAGACAAGATTTAGCAGTTTATGTGGATGGACATGGATGTAGACATGGAAATTATCTGGGGTGAAAATAAATAACAACAGGGAGATGTTTCCATAGCATGGAAAATGAGGCATTCTTTGGTGTAGTTCACAGCCACCCTCTCACCTCGTCTACCCCCTGGCATCCCAGGAGTCTCAAGTGCCCCTTCCTCCAAATACCTTTCTTCAGAGCCTTCTGAGCCATAACTCTCTCGAGAAGCAACCTCCCATCCCCATGCTTCTTCTTCATCTTCATATTCCGCTTCAAATTCAACCTCAACCTCTTCTTCAAACAGTTCTTCTTCAAACTGAGTTGACACTTTTCTTAACTCTACAGCTCCAGGAGACAGTTCCTTTTTGACTGGAATCTCCTCTTTTTCAGGGATCTGAGGAGTTTCTTCAGATTTGTCCTCCTTAGGTGAAACCTTCTGAGGTACTTTCTTCAAAATAACAGCTTCAATCGAGTCTTTGGGTGAAACTTTCTTTGGCTTCTTTGCTAAATCCTCACTAGGCTTCCTCTCCACTGAGACTGGTTCAGTTGGTTTTGGTTTCTCAACCTTAGGCGAAGGAATCTTTTCAGGCTCTACTGCACTCTTTGCACGCTCAACTGGTTTTAGAATTATGTCTTCTTTCTTCTCAGCCTCTTTGGGTAAAATACCCTTTTTGGTGACTATTGGCTTCTTTTCATCCTCCTTTGGTGTAATCTCCTTCTTTACCGGCGTAACCTTTTTAAGCGGTGCCTTTTTGTCTTCTACTGGTACAATAGCTGGTATCTTCTCAACCTCTTTACCTTTATCTGGAGTTTCTTGACTGTCAACTCTTTTTGGTGGAATACTTGGTTCTGTTTTAACTTCATCTTTTGGTGGCCTAGTAAGTGGTGACAACTCAATTGGTTTTCGTTCTTTTGGCTCTGGAACCTCCTTTTCTTTTGGTGATCCAGCTGAAGGTTTCTTCGGAATTGGTTTTAGTTGAACCACCTCAGGTTCCTGATCTTTAGATGGAATTTTACCTTTACCTTTAAATAATTTCTCTTTAGGCTCTGTAGGTGCTTCCTCTTTGGGAGGTCTGGTTACAGGTTTAACAGCAACTTCATCAGGCACCTTTTTGTCAGGAACGGAGGGCACTTCTTTTTTCGTGAGGACATCGGGTTCTTTTGGCTTATCATCCTTTTCAGGTCGGTCTCCTTTCTGAAAAGTAACTGGTTCCCTACTTCTGTCAAAAGTTAAAGATTCTCTTCCTTTTTCTTCTTTTTTGGTGTCTTTTTCGGTTTCACTTGGCGGTTTTACAGGTTTCTCAAATGGCTTTAATTTGACAGATTCTTGTTCTTTTGTGTCTACTGGTAACTTTTTAACCTTTTTCAGAGCTAAGCCAGGCTCCTCTGGTGTATCCTTTTTTGGAACCTTTCCAATTGGTGTCTTTTTCGCTTTTTCTTCTAATTCGGTTTCTGGTTTTATTTGAGGTGGTGCTTGCTCAGGTTCATCAGGCATCTTTTTGTCTACCTCAGGTTGGATTTTCTCAACTCTCTTAGTCACTTCATAAGTCTCAAAATGCATTTCTGCCTCATAACTTTCAGTTATCATAACTTCAGTATGAGCCTCAGCATACACTTTGGGACTCTCTTTATATTCCTCCTCTTGTGGTTTGAGCACTTTCTTCAGTTTTACCATTTCCTGATCTTCGTCTTTATCTTTGGAAACTCTTGTAGGTTTCTTTAAGGTGGGAATTTCAAATCTTCCCTCTTCTTGCTTCACTTTAAGAACTTTTCCTTTAGATTTGGAAATGTATGCCATTATAAAGCGAACGATACATAAAAAACAACCATAAACACAGCACATTTAACACACTGACATACTTTTGCCAGTACAACAAACTATTTCAAGACAAAACATAACAAAAGACTAAAGGACACAATCAATAACAGACAAACTAACAAGATGATACTGACAACATTCAATATATTTCAATACACATAACAAAATTCCAAAAAATATCATATAACACAACTGAAGAGAACATATAATCTGAAATGGCTCTGCCATCTGTGAGAAAAGACTTTAAGTTTTAAGAATCTAATTTTTTTTTCTTACCTTTCTTTCCTGGAGCAGGTGCAGAAACTGGTCCCTTTTCACCATCTGATTTAGAAAAGTTGTCACAAATAGTTAAAATAATTCACAATAACAATATTTTGTTATGTAGTGCAAAGAAATGTGTCGAAATGAAATATTGGAAATGTGCAGAAAAAGCTTTGGGGCATTTTTTATTTGTAATGTGAATCTGTTTTGGTATACATATTTTATTGTCTTTTTTGAGTAACTGTTTGTGAGTTAAACTGCTGAGAGATAAATAAGACACGTCTTTTCATTAAGTGGAATGGGGGATGCTGTGAGGATCACTTAATAGCTTACACATATCAGAAGCACATACAAGACAACATGACAGACATTACCACACATCTTACTAAAGTTAAGAAAAAGTTTAGGAAAAAAGATTAAGAAAACACATTAAGAAATTATGACCTACCTGTTATTAACAACATTTTTTTCAATAAAGATAATTACCCAAAGATATTTTATAAACAGTGGGAGTATGAAGAAGAGTTTCAGTTTCAGTACCTTCCACGGTTTGGACGATTGGTACCGGTTCTTCCTTTGGAGCAGGCTTTAGCTTCTCTGGTTCTTTAGGTGTAGGTACTTCAAAAGGAATTTCAAAGACGTGATGAGATTTCAAAACTAGACATTCCTTTTCAGCACAGTACACGGATGCAGACTTGTGGTTACCATAATACCTTTTGTTGGAATTATCTTCTCTTCCTTGGGCTTAGGGATGAGTTTATCTTCAGCTTTCTTATCGACCTCTTTAACTTAAAATAGAGTGTGTTGTTTGACATCAATTCAAGTTGAAAGATATTGAAGATAACACAATGTAATGAAAGAATAAAACCTTTTAAACCTCTATCGAGGTTAAGAAACAGATACACAGATATTACATGCATGACAAACAATATATGAAATGATACACAGATTATATTTTAAGGAATTATTGGAAGAAAATATGTTTGGAAGATATTTGCTGTGGAAATTTGAGAATATTAAGAATTCACTCATGCAAACAACAATAATGACATGCTTTCACATAAACTTAGACTTGACAGAACATGTTTTCAGCACCTCTAAGAGGCTTAACAACACAACATTGTGACAATACTACTAATAAAGTTACTTTTCTAAATAAGAGTGGTTCACTAAGCATGAACCTTTAATCATTAAGACTATTTTGTTACAATGACACACAACACACAAATGATACAGAACAACATAAACACATGACAGCAAATGTACAGTGTGTTAAGGCTCTATTGGTGTAAGGATGTGCTAAAGAAACAAGTATTGTTATTAGACAAAACATATCACAAACAAAAAAAGTACCTGTTGGGGAAACAGTCTCTGGCAAAGGTTCTTTCTTTCTTTCAGGTTCTGGAGATGGTTTCTTTTCAACTGTAACATTTCAACATTTTAAGGTGTTATTATGACAGAAGATATGAAGTTATAATGAAAAAATAATAAACCTTCGACAACAAGATATGAAATACAACAAGATATACATTAAAGATTTGACTTGACAAAAGCAGGACTAACAACAAAAAGAGACCACCATAATATGACAAACTGAAACATAAAATTTAGTATGACAAAAGAGTTTGTTGAAGAATCCCCACTGTACTCTCTACCTTTTGGGGCTGCGACTTCTTTCACAGAAACAGGTGTCTTCTCTGGAGATGGTTTCTTCTTTAGCTCTGCTACTTTACATTACAAATAAAATTGTACATTATAACCTCAAACACAATTTTTGTAATTTTACCACTAGACTCCACAAACATAATATAAAATGTTTCTAACACAAAACAGAGAAAATTATCAGGTATCGTAACATTATGACTTCAAGACAGGACAAAGAAGAGGTTAGTCAGAAAAAAATTTGTCCCCATTTTTTTTTTTTTTGGTATTAAGTATTCTCCTCTGGCAGTATCCAACTTGATGTAATTGCAAGAAGACTGATACACAAGACCACATATCACATATAAACACTCTAAGATTGAAAGATTTGATGCTCAAAGAAAATAATTTCTAAGAAACCACGTTTTATAATAAAATAAATAGACAACCAGATGTTGTCTGATATCATTATACCTTTTGTAGGGGTCACCTCTTTCTTTTGAGGAACAATTTCTTCAAGCTTTTTAGATGGAAGAATAACCTCTTTCTTTTGAGGTACTATAGCATCTGCTTTTTTAGTGACAGCAACAATTTCCTTCTTTTTAGGCTGAGTATCATCTTTCCCCTGCGGTTTATGCTCGGAAATGACCTTTTTCTTTTGGTGCACAAGTTCCTCTGTTTTAGGAATTGTAACAACCTCCTGTTTTGGCATATTGTCTTCCTTCTCTTCCAGTTTAATTAAGTAGGACACTTCCGTCTTGTGTGGAATTTCTTCCCTATCAAGACGAGGAGTAACTTCTTTTCTTTTAAGTGAACTTTCTTCATTCTCCATTGAAATTTGTGTGTGGGCTATCTCTGTCCTCTGAGGCATAGTTTCTTCTGTTTTAGGAGCACTGACAGCCTGCTTCCTTCTCAGTGGAACTACTACTTGTGCTGTGGGTGTGGGAGCTATGTCTTCATTTTGAGTTATGGTTTCCTCATCCTTTTTAGGAGGAACGGGAACCTCTTTCTTTTGAGTTACAATTTTCTCATCCTTACAATGTAAAGGAACCTCTTTCTTTTTAGATACAATATCCTCATCTTTTCTAGGAGAAAGAACAACTTCTTTCTTTTCAGGCAGTATTCCCTGGTCCATTCTGGGAGGAAGAACCATCTCTTTCTTTTTAAATTCAATTTCCTCATCTTTTCTGGGAGGAACATCTTTCTTTTTCTGTAACATTTCCTCCTCCTGTTTAGCAGGAAGAGGGAGCTCTTTTTTCTGAAGTGCAATCTCCTCATCATTTTTATGGGAAGGAGGAATCTTTTTATTTTTAGGCCAGATTTCCTCATCCTTTCTAGGAGGAAGAACCATCTCTTTCTTTTCAAACACAATTTCCTCATCCCATTTAGCAGTAAGAGAACCTTCTTTCTTTTGAAGTGCAATTTCTTCTTCCTTTTTACAAGGTGCCCCTTTCTTTTTAGATACAATTTCTTTCTTTTTATGCAATATTTCATCATCCTTTCTGGGAAAAACATCTTTCTTTTTAGATAACATTTCCCCATCCTGTTTAGAATGAAGAGGAACCTCTTTCTTTTTGAGTGCAATTTCCTCTTCTTTTTTATGGGGAACAGAAATCTCTTTATTTTTAGACAATATTTCATCAACCTCTCTGGGAGGAAGAAGAATCTCTTTCTTTTCAAATACAATTTCCTCATCTTTTCTCGGAGGAAAATCTTTCTTTTTAGGTAACATTTCCTCATCCTGTTTAGCAGGAAGAGGAACCTCTATCGCTTGAAGTGCACTTTTCTCTTCCTTTTTATGGGGAAGATGAACCTCTTTCTTTTGGACCACTAATTCTTCATCTGTCCTGGGAGGAAGAGGAACCTCATCCTTTTTAGCAGAGACAGCAAACATTTCTATTTGAAGTACAATTTCATCCTTCTTTTTAGGGGTGGCAATAGTCACTTTTTTAGGAATTTTGTCTGCTGTTTCCTCTTTTTTGGGACCAGCATCTGTCTCTCTCTCTTGAGGTATTTTGCCTTCTCTACCTTCTAATTTACTATCTACAACAACTAGTTTCTTATGACCTTTGTCCTCAATTAAATCTCCTTTCTCTGTAGCCAATGACAGAACAACATCTGGCTTCTTGGAAGGTTCTTGCACTTCAAAAGAATGTTGTTTAAAAATAGCTTCTGTAAAAGTAGAATGTGGAAGAATTAATACTGTCTTAGTCTTTGAAACAACTCTTTTTGTTTCATGATTTTGAAATTGCAGTTATCTGATTACAGAGACTACAAAAGGTACAAATCCTCTAAAACTCTCAGTGATCATATAGTCACAATTTTAAAATCATAATTTAAGCACTGTATATTATGTTTATCTTACCTGTCATTACAAGAGGTCTAGATGGTTCATCACCAGAACATGTTTCACTCATCCTAAATTCTTCTGAAGTCAATATACTTTCTTTTGAAGAATCCCCCAGTTTTGAAATTTGTAAATCATCAATTTCTTTGCCATGTTTTCTGTCATACAGTATTTCTGTTTGTGATACAGCTTTTCGATGAGATACGTCCTCTTTTGAAGTTTCTTCCATCAGAAGAGACTTCATTGCAATTTTCTGACTGTCTGATGGTGTGACTTCATCCTTCCTCAGGACAGAAGTGGATTCTTGAAGATTTTGAATGTGAAGAAGAATTTGTACCCAACAGTGGAACCATGAGATTGATAAATAATAGAAAGACAATTCTTTTGTAAGAGAGACTAATCATAAATCTAAATATACCAAAGGAGTACACTTAACACTAAACAGTCTGAATTGCATGTGTATTTCTTCTGAGAAATCATTTATGTAAGTGGTGAATACGGAGAAATTAATACTGTCTCAGGCTTTGAAACAACTCTGAGTTCTTTATAAGAAAGATTCAATTTAAGAGCAATTATATTTTAAAGAAATTTACACAAATTCTCCCACAGCGATTTCATAAACTGTACTTTTAACAGGGTGTGACTTCTCTTATCCCTAAGTGATTTGTGGTGTTTGAGCAGTTTGGACCTTTTGGGATTTTGGTTTCACCCACTTGAAAGACATTAAGTATTGCTGTACTTAGTATACTTCATGGGATTGTAACAGAATATGAAGACAAAATGATGTTCAATAGAAAAAAAGATTTGTGTTTGATTTATGTACCTTCGGTCTTCTCATATTTCTTTGGTAGAAAAAGAATTGTATCCGGCTTTCTTTGCAGCTCTTCTGTTGTAGATTTTGTTGAATCCAAAGTAACTTAAGAGAGTATGAAATATGTAAGATTCACATCTATAAGATCAAGAGATCACTCTAGCGAGTGTAAGAGGTTAATGAAGAAGAATAAGAACAAACTAGAGAAGGACAAGAGACAAGTGACAAACATATATGGGACTACACAGACAAAAGAAATTTGTTCAATAAAATAGTAAAGAAGTTCAAAGAAAGTCATTTCTAAGACAGGAAGGTAAAGAATTAGAAGAACGGACAATCAGATGTTGTCCTAGATCATTGTACCTTTTGTAGGGGTCACCTCTTTCTTTTGGGGTACAATTTCTTCATCCTTTTTAGCAGGAAGAGGAACTTCTTTCTTTTGTGTCATTACGACCTCTTCTTTTTTAATGAGAGCAACTACTTCCTTCTTTTTAGGTAAAATATCTTCTTTCTCTTCCAGTTTTGATTTAAGGGACACTTCCCTCTGTGCAATTTCTTCTCTGAAGAAAATTTCTTCTATTTCTTCTTTCATCTCTACAATTTGTGCAGGAGCTATTACTTCCTTCTGTAGATGTGTAATTTCTTTCATGAAGAAAACTTCTTTTTCTTCTTTCTTCTCTGAAATTTGTGTGGGAAGTACCTCTTTCTTTTGAGGTACAGTTTGAGGCACATCTTTTTTAGGAATCTCTGTCTTTTGCGGTACAATTTCATCCTTTTTAGGAGGAAGAGGAACCACTTTCTTTTTAGGTTCAACTGCCTCATCCTTTTTAGGAGTAAGAGGAACCACTTTCTTTTTAGGTTCAATTGCCTCATCCTTTTTAGGAGGAAGAGGAACCTCTTTCTTTTTTGGTAATATTTCCTCATCCTGTTTAGCAGGAAAAGGAACCTCTTTCTTTTTAGGTAATATTTCCTCAACTTGTTTAGCAGGAAGAGGAACCTCTTTCATTTGAGGTACAATTTCATCCTTTTTAGGAGGAAGAGGAACCACTTTCTTTTTAGGTTCAATTGCCTCATCCTTTTTAGGAAGAAGAGGAATCACTTTCTTTTTAGGTTCAACTGCCTCATCCTTTTTAGGAAGAAGAGGAACCACTTTCTTTTTAGGTTCAATTGCCTCATCTTTTTTAGAAGGAAGGGGTACCTCTTGATTTTCCTGCTTTTTAGGGATAGGAACAGTCTCTTCCTTTTTGATACCAGCAACAGTCTCTTGCTTCTGAGGCACCTTGCTCTCTTTATCTTCTATTTTGTGAACAGCAGCATCTGGTTTCTTATAACCTATTTCCTCAATCAAGTCTTCTCTCTGTGTAGGCAAAAACGGAGGGGCCTCTGGCTTCTTGGAAGGTTCTTGCACTTAGAAAGAATATTAAAGTTAAGAACAATGCTTCAAATCGCACTGTTTTAAGAGTGAGAGAAGAGGAGTGAAATATCATTTAAATATATAAGACTTAAGATACATAAGAAACCAAGACATAGGATGTAAAAGATATGGTAGAAGCTACCAATAAGAATACACCCAATTCCAATAATAATGCAGGACAAAGACAATAACATAAACAAAACCCACTGTAAGTCACGTGTTCCTCATAAGAGTGTGGCTAGTTAATAAAGAAACAAACATACAACAGAAAACAGCCTTACATACAAAACCTAGTATATGTCTATACCTTTCTTTGGAGGTTCTTCCACTGTAATCACTTGCTCAGGTTTAGATGGTACTTTCTTTGGTGGTTCTTGAATTGGTGGTTTTGGTTTCTTTTCCTCCACAAGAACTTTAAAGGACACGCATTGTATTGTTTAAAGATTCATTTTCATAAGCACACATCAAAAACACACAGTGTCACATACAATACGCTTCCTAATGGAAGCTAGACAATTGCAACAATAAAGATGGGTATGTGAAAAGCCCTTAGACAAGAAAACCACATGACATAAAACATAAGCAATGAACAGTACCCAATAATAAACATACACTGAAACCCAATAATATTGCAGGACAAACACAATGACATAAACAAAAGCCACAGTAAGGTCGTGTGTTCCTCAGAAGAGTTTGGCAAGTTAACGAAGAAACAAACATATAACATAAAGTAGCCCTACATACAAAAAGTGAGTCTATACCTTTCTTTGGAGGTTCTGCCTCTGGAACTTTAATGGCTTCATCAGGTTTAGCTGGCATTTTCTTTGGTGGTTCTTGAATTGGTGGTTTTGGTTTCTTTTCCTCCACAAGAACTTTAAAGAACATGCATCGTATGGTTTAAAGGTTCATTTCCATAGCCACACATGAAAGAACACACAGTATCACATATAACACTCTTCTTAATGGAAGCTGGACAACAAAGACAGGTATATGAAAACTTGTAGACAAGAAACCCACACAATATAAAGCATAAGCAATTAACAGTACATAACAATAAGAGTACAACAGTAATAATGCAGGACAAAGACATTGACATAAAAGCCCCGTCATGTGTTCCTAATAAGAGTGTGGCTAGTTAAAAAAGAAACACACATACAACAGAAAATAGCCTTACATACAAAATGTGAGTCTATACCTTTCTTTGGAGGTTCTTCCACCGGAACTGCAATGGCTTCATCAGCTGGCAATTTCTTTGGTGGTTCTGGCTTCTTTTCCTCCACAAGAACTTTAAAGGGCATGCATTGTATGGTTTAAAGATTCATTTTCACAACACACGACAAAGAACGCACGGTGTCACATATAACATGCTACCTAATGGAAGCTGGACAAACAACAAAGACAGGTATATAAAAAGCTTGTAGAAAAGAAACCCACACAAATAAAGCATAAACAATGAACAGTACATAATAAATATAATGAGAGTACAAAAAAAACAGTAATATTGCAGGACAAAGACATTAACATAAAAGCCACTCTAAGTCATGTGTTCCTAATACGAGTGTGGCTAGTTAAAAAAGAAACACGCATACAACAGAAAATAGCCCTACATCAAAAGGTGAGTCTATACCTTTCTTTGGAGGTTCTTCCACCGGAACTGAAATGGCTTCATCAGGTTTAGCTGGCAATTTCTTTGGTGGTTCTGGCTTCTTTTCCTCCACAAGAACTTTAAAGAACATGCATCGTATGGTTTAAAGAGTCATTTTCATAGGCACAACTGAAAGAACACACAGTATCACATATAACACACTTCTTAATGGAAGATGGACAATCGCACAACAAATACAGGTATATGAAAACTTGTAGACAAGAAACCCACACAAAATAACGTGTAAGCAATGCAACATACAACAAAAAAAATTAATATTGCAGGACAAAGACATTGACATAAACAAAAGCCACTGTAAGTCATGTGTTCCTTATAAGAATGTGGCTACTTAATAAAGAAACACACATACAACAGAAACAAAGTGAGTCTATACCTTTCTTTGGCGGTTCTTCCACTGGAACTGCTATGGCTTCATGGGGTTTAGCTGGCACTTTCTTTGGTGGTTCTTGAATTGTTGGTTTTGGCTTTTCCTCCACAAGAACTTCAAAGAACATGCATTGTATTGTTTACAGTTTAATTTTCATAAGCACACATTAAATAACACACACAGTGTCACATTCAGTTCACTTCCTGATGGAAGCTGGACAATTGCAACAACAGACGTTATATGAAAAGCTCATAGACAATCCTACACAACATGAAGTATAAGCAATTAACAGTACCTTTGGCTGGGGGTGGCTCAGGTTTTTTCACAGGTGTAGGCTCAGGCTTTGGTTCTGGTTTGGGCTCAGCTACTGGTGCAGCTTTAGGCTCTTCAGGCTCAGGTGCAGAAGGCACAGGAGCTACAGGTGCTGCTGGCTGTGGCACTTCTTCATATAACATATTTTTGGTATTAGTACATTTGTAGAGTTTCAGAAGAGTTAAGGCATGAATGAAAATAACAGTGCGGTACAATTCAACTCATACCTCAAACAGAGAAAGACAAGACAAATAAAAAAGAACAGACACAAGATTTGACAATTGCTGTTGCATGCAATAAGAACATGTAGACTTAACATCAATTAACAGAATTAAGTGGGTCACATCTAAAAGTCAAAAAGACAAAAAAAAAAATCAATATATTCACAAAAAAGTTGTTGCAATAACATATAAACAAACATTTACATTTACAAATGACTTAAAACGGACTTGATTCGCTTAAAAGGTGTATATGCACATAGAACAGGACAGAACAGCAAATAATGACGTGTTCTTTCCATACCTTTTCCTGTGGGGGGTTCAATTGGCTCTGGCAATATAACTGCAGTAATTATTTCTTCCACAGGCTTTTTGGCTTTTGGGTAAAAATGAATTACAAATACTGTAAGAATATCCAATAAGACAAAAAAATAACACTACAACAGAATATTAACATCACAGATATAATAGAAAGAATGTTTATAAAGAGCTCTATAGACACACAAAAATTTATTAAAACGGCAACTTATGGACACAGCACGGGAGCACATTGGACAGACATCTGCATACCTTTCACAGGTACTTCAGGCACTAGCTCCACTGGTTTAGATGGCTCAGGTTCCTCGAATTCTTTGAGAATATTAAGAACAATTAACTCTATAATATCAAACTAGTAGCTTCAAATTTGAAAGCAACCATGCATAAGCATCAGGGCAAGAATTACGGAGATATCACTGACATTTACACATAGACGAACTGATACATCCACACAATACAGAATAGCATCAAAGCATTACTGAAGTTAAGAAAATTCAAAAAGCAGAAAAAAATAATGTAAAATGTACATTTGTGTGCAACATTTCATTTTAAAACTTATTATTATACCAAAATTGTTCATTAATTTGCAGCTGCCACAGAAGCAAATATCACAAACATTAACAGCACTGATAACACATGACACGGCACAACTAAGGTGAAAGTAAACACACAATTTTACAATAAGACACATAAAAATGACAGACGTGAGGATGATGTAAGCATGTTTGCCAACAAGTAGCAAAGCAGCAAGCTCTTTCTCTTTCAGTACCTGTTGTTGGAGCCACCTCTCTCATTCCCAGGATTTTTCTACTGACAGCCTCTTCGACTGGCACCCTTGGGGCTGATGAAACAAAAAAAAGTCCTTAGAATAACCGCCATAATTACAATAACAACTGGCTTTGGAGAAACATACGAAAACACAAAAAAACATAAATCTGTTCAGAAATATTTACGTTGGTAAAGCTACACATATAAACAAAGTCAGACTGGTAAATGTATGACAACACATAACAACACATACAGTACATTAATCGTACATTGTTAGGACAGGGTGAAAACAAGGGGAGATACAGACATTAATATGAATAACACAAATACATACAAGACAGATAAATACATTATGTGGGCAAACAAAAGTGGAAAGAGGGTTAGAAACGATATTTGTAGACTCAAAAGCTCTCAGTAATACCTGTTACTGATATTTCCTCTACAACACTCTCCGCTGTCCAGCTCACATACTCTGGTAAAGGGTAAAAAGTTGTTACACGTGTCCAAAGACGAATACTTTAAATATTGACATTATTTGGTTATTTCACGCAAGATGTTGGGAAACAGACAAAACAAAACTGTTAAAAAAAAACTGTGTTATTCTTTTAAATTTATTTTGGTGTTGTTGAACAGATTGATGGTTAAAACAGATGAAGTTAAATGATTTTCATAGTGAAGTGATTTTTGTCAGTTTTAGTGAATGATACTATATGAAAATGATGAGGTGAAAATGTCAGTTTTATTATTCTCATAATTATGCAGTTTACCTTGTGTTTCCATTTTTTCTTCGTAATGGTAATATCCCATGGAAGATTCAGCTTATCAAAAATAATACGTTTATGAGTAACTATCACTGATTTTGAGGATAGAGATTTATGTATTTTCAGAAGTCATTTTACATAGATTTCTCAATCTCACCTTCAATGGTTAATGCAGCTGCTTCAGGCACTTGTATTGATGTATCTGGGATGTCTGTGTAAGTGTAATTTAACATTTTTAAGCTTACTCATATAAATTAATGAACTGTGTGAAATAATCTGTCAATATGCACTAAAGGTGTTAAAAAAAATTTGTTACATACTTACCATAAGGTACCCTTTCTATATCAATTTCTGAGAAAAAAAAAAGAAAAAATAACTGTAAGGAGTCTTCATATTTTAAAGAATGTTAGTTAAGTAAATGCTGGAGCTCGACAGCTGTACCGACCTTTGCCTGACAGGTAAAGCTCAGCTGTACTTTTAGCCTCACCCCTGGGCTCCAATCTGACAATGACCGAGTACACGCCTAAAGGATTATTAATTTGGTTAAATGGGCCTTTTTATTTAATATTATTAAAACGAAAAATGGTCCCGCATTGGAACTCCACAAACCTTCATCGGCAGAGGTAACGTTGCGGATGATCATGAAGTGGCGTCGCCCTTCACTTCGGAAGGTATATTTGGGACTCTCTTTAAGCTCCCAAGTGTCCTTATACCATGTTACAATAGCATTGTCGAAAGACACCTCACACTCAAAAGTGGCTGACTGATGTTCTCGCACCACAATGTTCTGGATGCGTTTGGTGAAATGTATTTGCTTGGCTAGAAAAAGATAACGCAAGGTGGATGATTAGGACTAGAATCTAATGCCGGAACCTTTTTTTCTGCCTAATATAGTCCATTAAGATTTGCTATTAAGAAAGCCAGGAAAATGGGAAGGCAAACTATCCCTGGCATTTAAAATAAGAAGAGTTTTTCCATAAGAAGTGAAGAAGAAGTAGTCACAGATGATGAAAAAAGAGGTTAGTAGATGGTATAATTTACAGTAAACGTAAGTCTGACAGTTCAGTGAATCTATACAAACCTTCGATCCAAAGATTTGCAGTCGTTTCAAGATTTTTGTATTTGCAGGTATATTCTCCTTGGTCTTCAGGTCTAACATCTTTGATTGAGAGCTTCTGAGTGTAATTTGCCACAGCAAATGTGTATCTGCTGTGAGGTTCTAAAAGCTTCCCATTTTTAAACCACTGGGTTTTTACATTAGGTACAGAGAGCTGGCAAGTCAATGTACAAGTTTGGCCTTCCTTACCAGCCACATCCTGCATACGCTGTTCCACTTCAGCATCTGCAGAAAGAATAAGGGTCAATATTGTAAAAACTTAAGAGTATAGGATATAGTTTAGGGCTTTCACTAAAATGAGAATCAAATGATGTTGCTACACACCCAGCACTGTCAGTTTGGCACTGGAGATATGTGGGCCACACACAATACGATAATTGCCCTCATCTCTCATCTGGCAATCCTTGATCTTTAAGATGTGACGATCACCCACAATTTTGATGTCATACTTGTCACTACTGTCAAGTTTTTGGGTTCCTTTGTACCAGGACAGTGTGATTTCGGGGTAGTTGATCTTGATTTCACATTCAAACACAGCTTCCTTCTTAACAGTAGTTGTCTGGTCCGTGATGTCACGTACCACAGTGACAGGCTGCATAGAAAACAAAAGAACACACTGTAAATGACATACAGTGGTTATAAAAAGTATTTGCATAGCATCTAGACATTAACCAAAGTTGAAAAAAGTAGATTTCTGCATTTAGCAAACTGAATTCTAGATAATACCCGAGTTGCCGACTTGTGACATTGTAAGGGGCCTCGTTGTGAATGGTAATGATTCTGCATAGCTATTTTAAATTTCTTACACTCTTTTTTAATAATAATAATATGGCACTACGTATGAAAGAGCTTCAATCACACTCCTTTGACTGTTGCTTTATGTAATGTTTTGAAGATACCATGCATAAATAAATGATAATTACTGGTTTTAATCATTTTCTTTTCAGAACTGGGTATAACGTTACATAATATTTACAGTATAAAACATACTGTAAATATTGTGTAACATTATACATAGTAAGATACTTCTGTATTTGTCCAACTTTTCATAATAACAAATGCCCAACTCTGAGGTACGGGCTTCCCAGGTGCACTTGCAGGCAGCCTAACTTCCACAAAACTAACATGTGTCCTAGCAAATAAACCACAGGTGTAGTTTGTAACATTATAGACATCTTTCACTAAAGCATGACAACCAGAAAGTGTCTAAATGCACTTATCACTACGTATGCTTGTGCTATAATTCTTTAAAACATATGCCACTTGGTTTGATGCTTTGTTATACAATGCAATGACATTCATGTATTTTTACAGTGTTTATAAAGCACTGGCTGATCTAAGTATTATTTTCCTAAATAAATAAAAAATAAAGTTTTGATTTTTGCTGTCTGCAAGAGTTTATTTAATACAAATAACAAAATTAGATTTCAAACCTCAGTTTGTTCCATCCTCTTTTGCAAATCGGCAACAAGTTTAGCCAAATCCTCCTCAGACTCTCTTGCACCACTTTCCACTTCCTGAAATGTAATAAATCCAAGCAATTAAACAATTTATATAATTTACTCTCATTCCTGGCTTGAAAGGTGAGTTCCTGAAAGGTAAATGTCACTAGAACCTTCCTTGACCACATTTTTTGTTAGATTTTTGCCACTTGGTAAATTTGGCAAATTTAAGTAAAACTTTGAACGTTATCAATTAAGAGGAATAGTATCATGTGTCAAAGTAATGTTTATTAAAAGCTTAAAGCAGCACTATGTAACTTTTTCTGTGTTCAAAATGTATATAATGAGCGAGTACATCATGAATTCATCTTCCAAACCGAGTTTTTGTCTTATTCCGAATCACTACGGTACACTTATAATAAGTACTTATATTTGGACTATTGTAGCCTGGTCGGGTCGTCACCGCTGCGGAGTAACACATACCTGCGTGAATCGCCATAGACATAAACTTAGAGAAGTAGCTCCGGTTGGAATGTTCTTCCGCGGGATGTGTGCAGTTCTGTTTATTAACCGCTAGAGCGCCAAAAGTTACATAGTGCTGCTTTAAGGTTACAGTGCACTTTGCTAATTTCAATCAACACAAAATTTCATAAAAACACATCACTAAATTGATACAGAAGCAATGTGCTTGGTCTTATCTTCTAAAGGGAACTATATGATGCTGTTGTACTGTTATCTGAATCAATCTTACCGGTCTTCCACTTTCGTGTTCTTTTTCCTTCTTCAGAAACTCAATAGCCTGAAGGAGACCCCGGAAGTCTGTGATGCCATACATGCGAGCATATTTCTCATACTCCTTGGGATCAACATTTCTAAGCAACTCAACAATGTCAATATCCTTTTCCTCTTTAGGGCTTTTCTGCTTAGATGGAGTTCTGTTAAAAAAAAATATTGCACACAATTTAAGCAATCTTGTATAGCTATCATCTCAATCAGTGTTTTACATAGTGTGGCATAATTGGCATAATGACATAACTTCAATGTAAATTCATTAAAAAAAATTTTTAAATATACACAAATGGAGCAATAACAATCAGACCCATTAGTTATTTTTTACAACTACAATCTATCATTTAAAACAATAAAAATAATCATATTTAGACATTCATTAAGTCAAATAATTTAAATTAAAATGCCTGTAACTAATGTTGGTCAAGGGGGGTCCTTAAGCATGGTTTGCAGCTTGACAGACACTCACTTCTTCAGTTTCACCATTTCTAAAGTGGTCTCTTTCTTCTCATCAACATTCAGGTTGGGGCTGCACTCAATTTCTCCATGTTTGTTTGAAGCAACACATCTGTACTGTCCAGAGTCAGATTTGGTCACCTCTTTGATCTCCATCTTGGCCTCTTGGCCCTTTTGTTCAATACTGACGCGACCACCATGAGTCATTTGCCTCCATTTGCCCTTCATCCATTTCACATTGGGAATGGGATCACCACCAACTTTAGCAATGAAGGTAGCTGTACCTTCTGCAAAAACATAAATCAAACATAGCATCAATAAAACTTTCTTCTGCATTTTAATACAGTTCACCCCAGTGTTGGGTAAGTTACTTTTAAAAAGTAATTAAGGTAGCACCTTTTATTTTAAGGTGTCCTTTTTTTACATGTTACATGTACTTACTATTGTAATAACAATTAATTATGCATAATTACACGCAAGTAACCCTAAACCAAACCCTAATCCTAAGCCTAACCATATAGTAAGTACATGCAGTTAATTAATATTACTTAGTACTTAAATGTATAATTACACTGTAACAAGGACACCTTAAAATAAAGTGTAACCATAATTAATTACTAATTACATCATCAATGTTGTATTTAAATTACTTTTCTAATTACTCTGTCTGAAAAGTAACTTAATTACTCAATAAGTAACTTCATTATTCGAATCGTTAATTACATCATAAAATCCCTATAAACCTTGATGCATAAAAATGAAACTTAATTCTTTCAGTTTGAGTTAAACATGGAAAAGTTTAGCCTTTTAGCTTTAAAACAACTATAATACTTAAGCATTTTAATAAAAAATGTAACCTTCTTTGGTTAACAAATAGAATTACTCTGCAAAATATCTGAATAACAAAAAAGCTTAAGAAAAGAAAAGTTTTAAGTAACTTTTATAAATGTGCCAGAAGAAAACATTACTGGTGCATCTTGAGATACAGTAAAACAATGGAACTGACATATTTTACTCTGCAAAATATCTGAATAACAAAAAAGCTTAAGAAAAGAAAAGTTTTAAGTAACTTTTATAAATGTGCCAGAAGAAAACATTACTGGTGCATCTTGAGATACAGTAAAACAATGGAACTGACATATTTTAATGTATGTCAGTGCAAGTTTCTTTCAGTTAAAACAGCTCAGAAATGTATTTTAGTCTGAGACTAGGCTTAACCCTTGTCTGTGAAACCAGGGGTAGGCCTACATGTGTCAAGCTGTAAGAATTAATCTTTTCAAAGCAATTAGTACCATATTTCATACACACTGACATACTGTACATGTATACAACATTAGCAGTCACTAATACTAATTTTGTCCACTCCTAACAAAAAAACACGATTTTGTACGGTCAGTCATGCACATATGCTTTGTCTGTACTCTGATATTTTATAAACTAAATTCTTATTGCTTTGAACACTATAAACATCAATATTATATTTAAATCCTCATTTCATACGACATTTTAGCCTATATGTTAGCCTACAAGTTGCCTGTATATATGAATCGCATATCATATTTCAGCATATTTTACTCGCTTTCACACATTTTGGCAAGACAGTTTAGGAAAAGCCCAACTAGTAAAATGCGTTCAAGTTTATGTAAAAAATAACACGTTAACTAATGTAAGTAAGAATAAATTACAGAAATTATCTCCTCCGCTGAATAAAGCCGCGTCAGATCGCACTGTTCTTCTGAGGTAAATTCCGGCTTATTCCTCAAGTCTTCTTCCAAAAACAATGAAAAGTAGATGAATCTTTTTTTTTTTATCTATGCTTTTGTATTTAGGTGATGAGGGCGTTTGCAGATAATGAGCTCTGAGACAGGAAAGACTGTACCTCGCTTTAGTTTCATACGGATTACATAATCAGAGAATATTCGTTTTCGATTTGAATTGGTTCATTTAAAAGTAGACACTTCAAGTTTTCTATACACATATTTCTCACGTCTGTGTGTGAAGTATTCGTCGAGTTTCTGTTCGTTTTTGTGGCGCGTTTCAGAAAGACGTTTGCGGAGACCAAAACAGCAGAAAGCACACCCTGTTTGTTTTGTTTATTTAACAAAAGCACAATGTTTTGTTGTTATGGTCAGTGTACACAAATAAAAGTAGAACCTTTATAGATTTGATTGATTTTAGTTTTATCTGTATCTGGGTATTTTAGGTCCTTTTCTCTCTTATCAGGAAAAACTGAAAGTGAACGCTCTGGCGTGCAGAGGATTAAAGACACTGCATTCAGTTTTACCTTTAGACGATACATTTAGATTTCAAATTCAATATTGATTTAAAACTGTAACGCAAATACTTTATAAGTAACCGTAATTAAATTACCTAAAAATGAACAGTAATCCTTTCCTTTCCTTTTTTCAGTTGTTAAGTAATATAATTACTTAGAAACGCGTTACACCCAACACTGGTTCACCCCTAAAAAATGAAATGGAGAATAACTTACTCTCAATGATATGGACACTCTTTGGCTCCTCAATGAAGAAGAGGTTGTCCAACTTTTTAACTGCTTCAGGTGGTGAAGGGGCTGCCTGTGCCGGGGCAGGAGCTCCTGGTTTCTCTGAAACTTTTAATGGAATATTGCAGTGAGATACATACATTTTCACTTTCATATTCAAGATTCAGGCCTAAAACATTTTAGACAACAAAAACACATTACCCATTTAACTTTTTCAATAAGCACAGCTGCAGGGATAAGAATGGCAAAGAAACATTTGCAAAGAAGCAGATTTGGCCAAAACAAATCATTGAGACCTGTTTGTAAACAACAAGCAAGTACTTGCCCTGACAAAAGTAATCTGTTGTCAGGCCAAGAAAGAAACAGAAGACATAATTAGATTAATGAAATAATAATAATTATTAGAAGATTCTAATATTGGCAAACAGCCAACAGAACGTCAAGGTTAGGATGAAGCAAATAAAAAAAGAAAGAATTACCAAGGACATTAAAAACACTATGTTCCTTACACACACACACACACACAAAATACCTTTGATAGTGACTTTAGACTTGCAGAATTCACTACCAGCCTCATTGGTTGCTTTGCAGAGATAATCCCCAGTATCTGCCTTAGATACACGGATCATCTCCAATGTGGCAGTGCCATCAACAAATGTAATCTTAGTATTTTCAGACGAAGAAAGCTCCTGCCTGTCCTTCATCCACTGAATCTTGAGAGGAGGAGTTCCACGTACATGGCAGCTGAGGGTAAGCGTCTCACCCTCAGTCACAGTCACTGGTTTAAGAGGCAAGTCAAAGCTTGGTGGTACCTTTTGCTCTGTATTCAGAAAATATAGTAATTATGAGCATTTTTGCGAAAATGTGCAATCCTTTTTGACAAATACATGCATGCAAGTTTACATACAGAGACTCATTTGCAATAGGACATTTCACATTTTTTGTACTCCGTAAATCATGTACAAGAAAATATACCATGGTAATTACATGGTACTCAAAGGTATTTCCAATAATAATTAATTTTAGTAACATGGAATTACCATCTGATACCGTCACTGTACCACAGTACTGCCACAGTACGTTTTTACCAAGCGGCAACCTTCCGGTCTCTCTCTTGAATCAGCACGGAAGTGACTTAAACTGCAATTCATCGACTGGCCGCTAGAGACTGTCTCCAAAAGGGAGTCAATCCCATAGACCCCCCATGTTAAAATGCCCAACTTAGGGGGGTGAATTTTTTTATAACTCATCCGTTTAAAATCTATAAAGCCTTAAAGTTCTGCATAATTAAGGCCATGGCAACTTGAGTGACAGGTGGATTGCAGCTGTTGTCACTACTAGCCGTTTGTCTGCTGTCTGTTAGCAGTCACTTCACCTCAGCTAATTCCAGCTAATTCTCAGCTAATTTTTCGGGATTGTTTCATACAATTATCAAATAATATGGCTTGCTGTGCAGTTAATTGTACTAACAGACCGTCCAAGAAGTCTGGGCTCCATTTTTTCCGGTGAATTAAATTCTAATATAATTTAATTTATTCATTTATTTAAAATAATTTATTTATTATTTATAATTTTATTTAAAACTTGACTACACTCCAGAATCTCACAGACTGTGATTAGCTGTAGGCTGAAACCATAGACTGTATAAAAAAGTAGCATATAGCATTAGCTTCTTAGCCTGAGCTAACTTGATCATGTCGAGCTAGGCGGGTGTGGTTTCAGCAACCAGGCACCTCAGCTCCACCCACGTCCCGCCTCTTTGCCTATTTTCGATTATCCGGGAGTGACGTGCTGCCAAGATGGCGACGGCCGGCTCCACCCACTTTGGGCTTCAAAAATGCTCTTCAGAAACCTACGGGTGACGTCACGGACACTACGTCCATTGTTTTATACAGTCTATGGTTTTTTTTTTTTACAAGCACACTTATAACTGGACAAAGGAAATAAGAAAAGCTTGACATAGAAACCAGCTGTATACCTGTAATCTTAACGGACACTTCATAAGAGGCAGTGCCAGCTTCATTGGAGATTTTGCACATATATGTTCCACTATCTGACAGCTGAGATTTTTTGATGCACAGGACAGCCAGGCTGGTCTTGAAAGTTACATCATAACAGTCAGAGGTGAAGATTTCCGTGCCATCTTTATACCAGTTGACAGTCAGGGGCTGTGATCCAGCTACACGACCCTCGATCTTCACTATTTTGCCCTCAGTGTCCTCAATAGTTGCTGAAGGTTTTTTGGTAAAACTAGGTGGAATTTTGCGTTCTATAGGAACAATAAAGAGAGGTGTTGTTAGACAGTACATACATGATAGAAAAAAAGAGGTTCTTTCACCTAAATGCATATAGCAAAATAAAGAGCAAAAAAAAAATATGCTCAACAGTGCCACCTGTTGACCTTACTGCAAGCAAAGAAAAACATGAATGCAAAGGCATGAAGAATGGAAGACAAAAACATAAAAGAAATAAAGCACCACAGGTCAGTCCCAAGACAATGAAGACACAGTCACACTGAAAAGCGGTGACCAAATACCTTTCACAGAAACTTCTGTAGAACAAAAGTCCTTCCCAATATCATTACTAGCATGGCAAGAATAACGACCAGAGTCTGCCTTATCAGCTTTCAAAATTGTCAAATGTGGAGTGTTATCCACACATGATATCTTATAATTGCCCCCTGTGCGGATGTCTTTGTGATCCTTGGACCAAGTAACTTTTATTGGCAACGATCCCGTCATGTGGCATTCCAGTTCGACAGTATCTCCCACTGTCACATCCACAGGTATGAGCTTTTTATCAAACACAGGTGGATATCTTGGCTCTGTAGAGTTAAATAGAGATAACAGCACAATTGTATAGACATGGTAATACATTCAATTCAGTGTGTTTCACAACACAGGAAACAAATGTAATCAGAGAACAATATGAAAGAAATAAACAGACCTTGAAGTGTGAGCTTGGCTCTACAAGAAGCAGTTCCAACACTATTAGTCGCAATGCAAGTGTATTCTCCAGAATGTCTCATTTCACCTTTGACTATATTTAGGACAGCAGAGTTATCGTCAAAAAACATTGTGTATTCTGAATCGCTCCTAAGAGCTTCACCATCTTTGAGCCAAGAGACCTCCATAGGAGAGGATCCTGCAACACGACACTCAAACTGGACAGGCTGTCCTTCAATTTGCGTAATGCTAGTAATCTTTTTAGGGAAAGACGGTGGTGTTTTCACATCTGAAAAGAAAAACATTTAGCAAAATACATTGATAAAGGTTACACAGTGCAATCAAAACATTTAAGACATTTAAGAGATAGATTCAGAGCTTTGAAGAGAAATTAGAATCACCTTGTACAGTTAAGAGGCACCTGGAAGAGGCAGATCCAATGCTGTTTTCTGCCTTACATGTGTATTCACCAATGTCAGATTTGGCAACTTTAGCTAGTTTCAGGCAGGCAGTGCCTTTGAAGAACTCCATCTTACAGGTTGGAGAAGACCGCACTTTGCCATCTGCCTTGAACCATGACACTTTAATTTCAGGAGTGCCACCAATCTGGCATTTCAGACAAACTGCATCACCTGCAGTGACCTCCATGGGCTCCAAACTCTCAATAAAGATAGGTGGTTCTAAAAGTGACAAAATATATATACATACCATGAAGACAAGCATGCACATTTTGATTTTGTCTCACAGTAGCTTATATTGAGCAATTTTACTCAATAACAAACCTAAGATGGACACTGTTGCTTCACAAGTGTCGTGTCCAGCATCATTGGAAACCTCACAAGTGTATTTTCCAGCAGCCTCTTTATCACTGTTTAGACACTCGAGGATGCAGGAGCTCTCAGTGGTTGTGATGTTGTACTTGTAAGAGGAGTAAATCTCCTGGCCATCTTTATGCCATTTCACAAGAATCTTTGGGCTTCCCGCATACGTACATTCAAGTATCAGAGACTTGCCCATTTCAACAGACAGGTTCTTGAGCTTCTTGACAAAGTGTGCAGCCTCTGAATGAAAGATGGCATATATATGTGAGACACAAAGCTCCGTTTTAACAAGTATTCTAGAAATAGTTACTCATATTAACTCAATTAAAACTAACCTTTCACAAAAAGGTTCACTGTGCAGTTTTCCTTCCCTGCATCATTAATGATCTGGCAAGTATACTCGCCAGCATGAGATTTATCAATGTTGTAGAGCTCCAGAATTGCATTATCTCCTCTTAAAGCAATCTCACAGCTTCTCCCAGACACTATTTCCTTACTGCCTCTAAACCATTTTAGTTTCATGGGGGTACTTCCTTGAACGGTTGCTGTAAAGGTGACATTTGTGCCTGGGAGGGCTTCCACCGGTTGAGGTGTGGTCACAAAAGAGGGGGGTTCTATAGCAAACACGACAGGAAGAAGGTTGTGAAACGTGCCTTAACCAATAGCTCTACATTTATTAATTGTGAATTATTCTACACCCAAACACTAACCTTTAACAACTAAGGAAGCAAATGTCTCTGCAGTTCCTGCACTGTTCACTGCTTTACATTTGTATGTGCCCGAGTCTGAAAGTTTCAGAGTTGGCACTTTCAATGTGCAGGTATTCTCAGCGAATGTAATCTCATAGTTCGGTCCACTTTTAATCTCCTCTTCATTATGGTACCAAGAGATGGTGAGAGGTGCAGACCCTGAGGCTTTGCAGTCCATTTCAATAGTTTTGCCAACAATATTCTGTGTGTCCTTCAGTTTTCGTGAGAACGAAGGAGGAACGATTTTGTCTGTTTGACCAAAAACAAGATTCTCAGCTTTTGGCTTCACAAGAAATCACATGTAATTCTAAGATTGGAACAAATATTATATACAAGGATATTTAACATTACTGACCCAAAACAGTGAGGTGCATTTTGCAGCTATCACTGCCAACTTCATTCTTGATTTCGAATGTGTATTCTCCAGTGTCACTTTTCTCTGTTGACAATAGCTTAAGACTGGAGATCATTTTTGAGAAGGTGATTTTGTATTTTCTGCCTGAAGACAACTCCACACCATCCTTGTACCATTTTGGTTTAAGTTCTGGAGTTCCAGATACAGTGCATTCTAAGACTGCAGTGTCACCAGCGGTTACACTGATTGACTCTGTCTTATCCACAATTGCTGCAGGTTCTAGAAATTTAGAAGCGTCTTTATGTTAATTTACATAATACATTTTTAAAAGATATATATGCTTAAGGGGGAAAAAAATTATTTTTCTTACAAACCTAGGACAGTTAGGTTCGCTGTGCATTCAGCTACTCCAGCATCATTTTTGAGCTGACATGTATATTTTCCAGCAGTGGTAGAGTCAGCTTTAAAGATCTTCAGGGTGACCTGATTATTCTCAAATATAATTTTCCTGTTGTCACCATCTCTGAGAATGTGGTCTTTATCCTGAACCCAAGACACAGTCATAGGCTGCGAGCCTTTGACCGTTGCCAACAAAACCACTTCCTCACCAGAGATGGCTGTAATGTTGGATAATTTCTTCACAAATGCTGGTGGTTCTGAATGTCAGGAAGAGAGTCATCAGAAAGTCAGGAAGTGTTAAATCATTTTTTGGAAAAGTATTTGATACTTTTATTTGAACTAGTATCTTACTGACCTCTTAGCTTTACAGTGCCCTGGCAGGAATCACTTCCTACATTATTTGATGCTTTGCACTCATATTCCCCTGCATCTAATGCTTCCAGTCCAAGGATGTGGAGAGTTGCAGAGCATCCCTCAGACACAAATTTATACTTCCTACTCTCCTTTAACTGTTTTTGATCTTTAAACCAGGTTATCTCAAAAGGTGCTGAGCCTTTCAGCTCACAGTTTAGACTGGCATCTTTGCCCTTCAGCCCCTCAACTGGTGTTAGCACTTTGTGGAAAGTTGGTGGTTCTACAAAAATGTAATTCAAATCAAAATGAGCATTTATGCATATTGCAATCAATTAATAAATCATTAAATCAATAAATCATATCCTCTGAAGAGGGTTATCATCAATAACTAAAACTATGAAACTGAAATAAAATAAATATTAGATGGAAAAAAACTAATTTGATTTTAACTGCCTTGGCAATTAACTGAAACAAAATTACTAACTGGAAAAAAACTCAAACTGAACCAAATAAAACTGAAATAAAAACAAGTAACAACTGAAAAAAAGCAAATTCATAATATTAATAGAAATTATAATAGTAAACAAATAATACTAAATAACACTGCTTCTGAAACATAGTCAATTAATGCTCATGTTGAAAAAGGCACAAGCATTAAACTAGTAAATGAAAGATCCATCCACTGTCTAACCTTTGACTGTGAGTGTGGTACTGCAACTCTTAGTTCCAGCATCATTCTGGACTTCACAGGTGTAGACTCCATTATCCTCAAAGCTGCACTTGAAAATTTCAAGGACTCCCACAGAGTTATCGAAAGTCATTCTCATGTTGCCACCATCGCTGAGTACAGCGTCATTTTTGTACCAGCTAATTTTCAGAGGAGCTGTGCCAGTAACTTTGCATTCAAGCTGGAGTCGCTCTCCCATCTTCATGATTTTTGCAGCTGGCAGTTTCTGTACAAACTCTGGAGGTTCTGTAAAACCAAAATTACAACATGTTATCATAATGATTAATGCAATATATAAAATGGAGCACTGAGGAAGAAGATGGCAGATGACAAGAGGCACATGATGGCTTAAAGGGAGTAAAGCGTAATGATGAACAGTAATGAAGTAAGATGATGATGAAAGGCAGGCAGACAATTTATGTAAGCAATACAAGAGCATGCAAATGGATAAAAGCATAATGAAGAGCGCTGATAAGAGTACTTGAAAGAGGTCCAACCTTTTACCAACAAGGTTGTGGTGCATTTAGCGGTACCAGCATCATTGCTTATTTGACAAGAGTAAGTTCCACTGTGTGATATTCCAACGGCAAAAAGATCTAGGAAGCATGAGAGGCCTTCCAGGCCAGTAAAACATGAAGGTCCACAAATCAGCTCAGTGTCATCTTTGAACCATTTCACTGTGAAGGGAGATGTTCCCTTAAAGGTACTCTTAAACCGAACAGTGGTATTTGGTATGACAGCCTGTGATTCTGGAACCAGCACAAAGCTTGGTGGCTCTAAATCATTAATGGGAAAGAAAGACAAATACATCTGTTAAGAAACTGGCAGCCATCAGAGACCTTAAGATATATGTGAGAATGAAATATGCTACTAAATACTACAAAAGCTATCTGACCTTTCACCCTCAGTGTACCACTGCATTCACAACTGCCTGCTTTGTTTGTAAGTTTACAAGTATACGTTCCAGTGTCGGCTTTCTCTAAACACTCAATTTCCAAAGACACGCTGTTGTCATCCTTAAGAAGTTTATGTTTGGTTCTTCCTGACAGTTTAGTCCCGTCCTTCATCCACTCCACAGTTATGGGGAGTGAGCCAGATATTTTACATCCAATTTGAATATTTGTGCCCAGAATTTCCTCCATCTCCATCAAAGGTTTAATGAAAGATGGGGGGATTATTTGCTCTGACAAAGACAAAGAAAAGTGAAGATCATAAAAATCACTAAAATTCATCCAATACTAATTGTTCCATTAATCAAGAATAAGCACTAACCTAGCACGTTTAATGCCACTTTGCACTGGCAGACACTGATGTGGTTGGAAACCTCAAACACATAAGTTCCTTTGTCTTCCAACTGGACAGACTGAATTTTAAGTTGGCTGACATTATTGATGAAGCTTAGGCTGTGCTGTCTTGAAGGCATAACTTCATTGCCATCTTTAATCCATTTGACTTTCAGTTCAGGAGAGCCTGTAACTTTGCACTCAAAACTTACTGGATCTCCAGCAGTGACATTAATCATCTCTGGCTTTTCAATTATCTGAGGTGGCTCTGGGGATAATATAACAAACATATTTATAATAGAAAGTCTTTAGGAAGGACAGCTACAAAAAAAAAAAACACTTGCAAAAATAACTAACCTTGAACCACAAGGGTAGCAAAACACTTTTCTTGCCCTGCCTCATTCACAGCCTGACAGGTGTATCTTCCACTGTGGATGGACTCACACACAGGGATTCTCAAAGTAGCAATACTGTTTAAAAATGTCCTCTCAATTGAAGGATCCTCCAAAATCCAGTTTTCATCTTTCTGCCATTGTATGGACAGAGGTGGTGAACCTCTTACAACACATTTAAATTCAACCTTTTTTCCAAGAACTGTGACAACATTCTCAATCCTCTCCACAAACGATGGGGGCTCTGATAGATAATGTGAAATGTTAAATAATATAAATAGAGATAAAATCATAAATATAAAATCTATTAAACGTACTGAATGCTAACCTTTTATGCTGAGTGTAGTCTGACTTGAACAACTCCCAACTTCATTTGCTACAATGCACTGATATTCTCCAACATCTAAAGCATCACATTTCTGTACATCAAGAGTCATTATAGAACCATTCTTCTGCAAAATCACGTGCTTGAGGCTTGATTTAATGTCCTTTGAATCTTTTTGCCAGGTCACCTCAAAAGGAGCTGTGCCTTTTACCTGACATTCAAAATATGCATTTGAGCCATTCACAACCTCAAGAGGACTCAATGGCTTGACAAGAACTGGGGGCTCTGAAAAAAGAAGAAAGCTTGAAATGAAAACAGTTTAAAATCTATGTTCTAGCCAGACATTTTTTGAGGAATCATATCAAATAACTTAAACGCCTATAAAATGCACTACATACTAACCTTTCACTCTTAGTTCCATACTACAGCTCTCACTGCCCGCCTCATTCCGGGCTTCACAGTAGTACACTCCACAGTCTTTGATATCACTGCTACTTATCTCAAGCCGTGCAAGAGAATCGACAAAAGTCATTTTATGCTTGTCACTTGGACTTATTTCATTCCCATCTCTGAACCAGTATGTGTCTATCTCTGGAGTGCCTGTAATCTGGCATTCAAAAACTACCAATTGGCCTGGTTTTACCACTGTTACTTTTTCAGGTTTGCGGGTAAATTTGGGGGGTTCTGTAAAATTAAAAAGAAAGAAAGTACTTATTTTAAGCATGTAACAAAGGTTTAGGGGGGGAAGTAGTTATAAATGATTTTTGTGAAAACCTTTCACGAGGAGTGTTGCTTGGCAAGCATCTGATCCAACATCATTACTTATTTCACAGACATAGTCTCCAGAGTCGGAAGGCTTAGCAAAAAAGAGCTCCAGTAAGCTAGAGGTGTCATTTTTCTGAACAGAACAGTCAATCCCAGATGAAACCTCTTTCTTATCTTTAAACCACTTAATGGTCAGTGGTGGCGTGCCAGACACAAGCACATTAAACTGCACTCTGGATCCTGGTATAACGTCTTGTGATTCAGGCTTCTCAATGATTGCTGGAGGTTCTGAATATAAAAGGAAGATTTAAGATTAAAGTTTAAATGAAGATAAAACTCACTGAAAGGCACAGCATGAAACAATAAGATGATGTAACAAGATATAAAATACAGTTTGCAACTTTACAAACTAACAAATTAAATTGTTATTGATAAAAGCCAACGGTAATCGCAAACCTTTGATCTTCAGCGTGCCCGAACACTGAACAGTGCCTGCTTGGTTTTTAGCAATACAGGTGTAGTTGCCACTGTCTGAGCTATCAAGATGACTGATTTCCAAAGATGCCGCACTCTCAAAGAATATGCATTTGTGCTTCTCATCTGTCTCGATCTCCTTATTTTCCTTGAACCAAGTGACAGTTATGGGAAGAGATCCAGAGACCAGACATTCCAACTGTGCAAAAGATCCTTTTATACTCTCCATGTCCTTCAATTTTCTTGTGAAGGAAGGTTTGAATATTTGATCTGTTACAGTGAAGGGAAAATATAATAGCTTCAATCTGAGTGTTGATCTAAAATGTCCAATTCCTACAAATCTATAAATGGCTATTTTTTTTCTACCATACTAACCTAAAACAGTCACAACTGCCTCACAGCTGCTTCTTCCAGCATCATTTGAAATCTCAAAGATATATTCTCCACCATCACTCTTTTCAGCAGAAAGAATTTTTAATATGGAGCTTGTATCGGTGCTCTGTACTTTGTATTTTTTGCTTGATGTCAGCTCTTTGCCATCCTTTAGCCATTTTGCTTTAAGAACTTTAGAACCAGAGTATCTGCATTCTAGAGTGGCAGGATCACCTACTGTAACTCTGATGGACTTGGCTTGCTCTGTGATGTTTGCAGGCTCTGTGTATAGTAAAACATGTATGAATACATGCAAATAGGACTAAATCAAAAATAGCTATATGGATAACATAACTAAAGAATAACATGAAAATCTGATGAAATTAGCATTAAAAATTACTACACACCTTTTACCGCCAATACTGCTGTACATTTCTGACTACCAGCTTCATTCTGTGCATGGCAAGTGTACTTTCCACCATGTTTTAACTGCACACTAGAAATGTATACCACTGCTGTCTGGTTCTCAAAAGATATCAGAACATGCTCAGATTCCTTGATCTCATGGTCATCTTTCATCCAAGAGACGGTCATAGGCAATGACCCTTTCAAAACACACTGCAAGGAAACCTCACCACCAAGCAGGACATTTGTATTATCCATCTTCTGCACAAATGATGGTGGCTCTAATTGAAGAAAATGAAATGTAGGCATGTTGTTAGCACAATGTTTACGAACATCACTGTACCTTCACTTACATATACAAAAATCCAAGAATTTCTTCTTCTTACTAACCTTTCAGAGTAACATGAAAATCACAGGAGGTCTGCCCTACTTCATTTCCTACAGTGCACTGATATTTGCCAGCATCCCCAGGTTCAAATTTCAAAATCTGAAGAGCTGCTACATCCTTTGTCAGGCTTATGATGTGCCTTCTATCATTTCGGATCGGCTTTGAGTCTTTGAAACAGGAAATCTCAAAGGGAGCTGAGCCTGACACTGTTCCTTCCAGCGCAACATCTGTGCCTTTAACAATTTCTTTGGATTCAAAAGGTTTCACAAATTCGGGAGGTTCTGAGATAAGAAAGCACCAATTAGCTAATGAAGTAACCACCATGAAATGACTTTAACATCCTTAAAAAGTAAGGTGATCAACTTCAAACAAACCTTTGACTGTAACCAAGCAACTGCATCTATCACTGCCAGCTTCACTTGATGCTTGGCAGATATAATCTCCACTGTCTTCAACACAGCAATTGGAAATTTGTAGTTTAGCAACTGAGTCGATGAAGGTCATTTGGTATTTATCATTTGAGCTAATTTCAGTTTCATTTTTATACCATCTAATACTGATCTCTGGGCTGCCAGTGACTTTACATTCCAAAGTTGCAAGACTCCCATTCAATGCTAGTTTAGTCGAGTCAAGTTTCATTACAAATTTTGGAGGTTCTAAAAAAAGAGAATAACACATTAAGATGAATTAACTGAAGAATTATTCTGTAAAAAATTATGGAAAAACAATTCATCAAGAGTAAGAAAAAGCACCTTTCACAAATAAGGCTGCTGTGCATGAGACCTTTCCAGCATCATTGGAAACTTGGCATGTGTATTTTGCAGACTGAGATGGCTTCACAG